TTGAACAATATTTGCCATGATACCTCTTGTAAATTTGTGCCTGTGTATAGAAAAATGACAGCATGTTAGGATAGTTTTGAGTCAGTCTCCTATGTTGTCTTATCCATTAGCATATCCTTATATGATTATATAGTTGTATCGTTGTTCTTGTTGTATTGTTGTTCTTGTCTTGGTCAGTAAGTCTCAGGGTTTAGTTAGCGGTTAGGATATGAAGAAGAAGCGGCAGAAATATCCCTTATTACTGCAGGGGATCTCTTCATTAATAATTTAATATGAAGTCAGCTCGTAACAGATCATCATGGCCAGTTTATAAAAGAAGCCGATTAGATTTTTTCTTTTTTTGGGCTAAACAGCCAATGAGTTAGATGCTCTGATTACTGACACGGTTTTGCTCCAACTTGGAAATAAGAACTTTTAACAGTAATTCATGAAATTAAACAAGCCAGAATTGGCACTTTAGAAGTTCATGCATTTTATCCCTTTGCATCTGAGTATATAATTACACACTAACTTACCGTCAACATAGAAATGCAGGGAGCCATAAGGCCTACATTCTATTGGGCTTAGTGTCCTACATCTTGAACACTTTTTTTTTTTTTTTTTGTAATGTGTAGAGATTAAAAATTGAATTCTGAATATGTAATTAAAAGTATAAGTAATTCTAATATCAAATTATTTGGTTGATAGTACATCTTTAATACCATGGATGCATCGTCAGAGCTATACGGAAACATCAATGCCAACTTTTTCATGAGTTATTTGTGTTAGCAAGCTGAATTTCTATTTCTGGAGATGCTGTGTTGCTTATGTTGTTATCAGTGGAAGGACTTCCCTGCTCGCCAACTAAAGTGAAGCTCAAACCTGTCTGGTTCGAGTTTAATGGGCCTGGCGGGCAGTTGGTGTTTAGTGAGGCTCCAACAGACACTTCAACAGCACCTATGATTTGGATGCTGTTAGTTCGACTTCTTTCTTTTAAATCACTCTGCCTAAAGGTATGAGAGGTTAGGTCTTTCCTGTCAAAATTTCTTAACACTTGAAGGATTCTCCTTTGGACTGAAATTCCAGGGATGCACAAGACATCCTTTTGCTTATACAGAAACTCTGCAACAAAGATGATAAGAGCTATTACTGCGGCAACCCCAGCAATAAGGAAGAGGCCCCAAAAGCTTCCAAAACTCAGACTATAAGAAGATACCGAGGTACTTGAATCAGGACAATTGGTTTGTTTTGGAAACCATTTATCTTCAATTTCCTTCATTTTATCGCCTTTCATGACATTTGAGATTGCCCTCGATACATCTGCTACAAGAGGAGAACCTTTTGGGAAGACCTAGAAATAAAAAATTTACATTATCTTGATCAAGGATAATACACATGATGGTACGAGGGAAAGAGAGATATTGAGATAACTTACAAATCCAAAGCCATCGCTCTTAAAATTTGGTTCCACGATAGTGTATTTATTGCAATATTTTTCAAGAAATAGCTTCATGTAGGGAAATTCATCGAAAGCAGCTGCAATTCCACCATTGGCACTTCCATTGGTAAAGAGTTCATTGAGCTCCTCCGGTGAACGAAATGTCCTCATCTTTGATGGATTGAATTTCAACCCCTGGACAATTTCCTTGACAAAGGAGCCATTATGGTACCCAACACTATCCTTTCTCCTTAACAGCTCATACACGTCAGTCACCGTAGGTTGCAGCCGTTGAATCGTTAAAAGAGAAGCTAAACTGGCAGTGTAGCTCTGTGTGAGAATGAGTACCACAAAGCACCATATCAACACCACAAACCTTGCTGGATTGCTCACCACCCTTTCCCCTAAAAACACAAATCAGAATTAGCTACAATTTATTTCTTTTAATCTTTAGAGCTTTAAATCTCAGGCTAGAATTCAAGCTTCACTAGCTCCATTCTTCACCCTAAAAGAGCTAAAATATGTTAAAAGGACCATTACGGTGTGCAAAAACCATGGTCGAAAAGGAGAACCAGAAGCTAGTTCCAACATGATGCGAAGGTGGTCCACGGAAATCTTCATTGATTCTATGCTCAAGAACCCATATGACAAACCCGATGAAGACGAAGAAGCCACCGCTGGTGACCCAAAGATCCCATGTCAAAGGCTTCAAGAACACCCATGCATTCTTGTTTGATCCATCTTGGATAGGAACCACCATTACCACTCCAGATTCTGTAAATGGTAATGTAAAGTCAATGTAAAATGACCTGTTGACGATGATGGAAATGTCTCCTACCACCGCATCATAGTTCTGTTCACCAAAGTGTTTTGTTAATTAAGAAATCCAAACTACCCAAAAAAAGTAATATGTAAACTCAAGGGGTTAGTTGTTATTTAATTACTCCATAGACGACTTGATCGATCAGGTCATTATAAGTTCCAGCCATCTCATGGTCAGCATTTCCAAAGGCATAGAAATCATGAGGAACTGCATATGGCATTGCCTCCATGACAGCATTGAAAACATCTGTGCAATAACCCATGGGGATGACTTTAGAATTGGGATGTGTATCAGGTGGAAGCTTGACGAATTCACTAAATCCAGTCTTCACTGGTACTCCAATCTTTAACCTTTTCCCTTGAGTTGGAATCTCCCAGCCTTTAGGCGGGAAATGTGTATCCCCCGGCCAAATGATGGTTCCGAGATTGGCCTTAGAAGTTGAATACCCCATTACATTGGTAAAATCTGGTCTTTTAACTAGTCCATACTTAGACGTCCAGAACCCAATCACCTTTTCACCATTTCCATTTACATTAATAATTTGGAAAACTGGGGACTCAAGTTGCCCATTAATAAACCCAAATTCTCCACTGAGGCCTTTAAATCTTGTACTTGACAAAGCATGGATGAGTTTGGGACCAACCTGAGAAACCCCAAAAGATTCAAGATCTGTTCTTGCACTTTTTGAAACATTTGATGCATCAAAGCTGAAATTTGTTGTGCCAAGTTTCTCCACTGCCATGGCTAGGGCAAATGTAGCATCATAAGCCCATAATCCAAAAAAGTCAAATTCAGCATTCACCATATTATCTTGCAGAAATTTCCTTTTCCATCGTACTTTGAAACTGTTAACCTCTTCTGATTTCGGAACATAAATCCTTATACCCAATACCCCCTGCATGGAATCCATATCAAAACGATCAATCATACTCCAAAGATTAGTCATCCCATCAGTTATTATCCAAACATATCCTTCACCCATCATTCCAATCTCTTTGGCCATGCTGAAAACCCGAGACCCAAGATCTATGTCCATATGAACAATGAAGACTCTACACTGCATTGACGTTAAGTTGAATAATTCCCTTCTAATTTCCTCATTAGTGGCGCCAAGAGGGATAACACTCCTGTAAGGAATCCGAGCATTAACCTCTTCCAAGGCGTCGGATAAATAAGGTATAACTCCTTCTCCAAACTCATTTTCAACATATATGGGCACAGCTTCTCTCCATCCAAAGGCTTGAACAATGGCACTAATAGCTTTGACTTGAGATGAGTCATCGTGGGTTGCTCGAATAAAATATTGACTCCTTAGGGAGGAAAGGAAAGGACTTGTTGCGGAGAAAGAGATGATGGGCACTTGAGATTTGTTTCCGAGGTTTATCATAACATTCGCCTGCATTGAACTTTTTGGTCCAATGATTGCTTGCACTTGGACATTTTTAATCAGGTCTAGAGCTGCTCATCACAAGATTCCTAATTAGTTTTTATGATGTTGAGTGAAAAATCTCTTGTGAGGATCTACTAAATATGTGAGTTAAATATAAATAGAATTATTTTATTTATTATTAATTTAGAATTGAAGTTGATAAATTAATTGAATTGAAGTACAGAAAGGGAAGTTATTCTTTTTTTTTTTTTTCGCCAAATCAATTTGAGATCTTGATAATTAAAATTAAAACTATATTTGTACTTATCTATTGAAGATTTTTAAAGACTAATTGGATCTTTGCTTGAGATTTAAAAGGGGCTTTAATAAGAGATTTAGTATTTATTTGAGATTTATGAAAGATTTTAACAATTTTTAGGAATATAATAATAGAGTAATATGAGATAAGATATAATTGAAATTGTATAAATCAGATTGAAGTAGAAATGTATTAAAAGGATAAATTATTATTAAAAATATACTCCCTCCATAAGCTTAGGTTTTTTGGTCTAATAAAATAAAGATGTAATGTAAGAATTAATTAATGAACTTTTTTATTTATCTTTAATTAATTACTACTTAAATAGCTATTTTTATTTAATATATGTTATAATTATATTTTAAAATAAAGATAAAATAAAAATAAGTGCATTAAATTATATCCTAAAAAAAGTGAACAACTAAATTTAAATGCTCTAAATTAGAAATTAAATCTAATAAAGTTAAATACATGAGTAATACTAAATATGCATATGGAAAGATTATTATTGAGACTATAATTGAATTTGGATTTTAAAAGGTGTAGTAGGTATTATTTGGGATGGAGTTATTGTCATACCCTAAATAGTTAATGTTATATCATTTTAATATAATTGCCTATTATTCCTTTACCTTACACTTTTTCTTAGAATTTTACATTTCTTTGTTTTTTAATATATTAAAAAGTATAATAATCAATTAAAATAAAAAAGTGTAATATTAGTTATTGAAGGCGTGACAATAACATCATCAATTTATTTTTTATTTATTAAAGATTTTAAAAAATTCATTGAAAATTGAGGATGTAATAATAATATCACTCATTTATTTTTTATTTATTAAAGATTTTAAAAAATTCATTGGATATTTACTTGATCTTTATTCAAGATTTTAAAAGGCTAAGTATTTATTTAAAATTTATTAAAAATTTTAATAATTTTTATAATATAATAAAAATTAATA